CCAAGCAGCAGACGCTTATGTCATTATTAGCTCGATGTAAAACAATACAATTGTCGTTTGTTTCGCAGAGAAAGTTTACTCTTGGCGCAAAGAGCCTTGGTTGCTGCCTTGATCTTCACCACTACATAGCCCACGTGAGGCAGCCAGGGAATTTTGTAGTCGATGTTGATTCCCAAGTATTACACTTGAGAACACCATGGAATCTTCGTACCATTAAAGGTTAAGGGCACCTACAAAGGAACGCGTTTCTTTAAAATTAATATAGCTTTGCTCTTCATTACCTTTAAAGGAACCTTCTAATCACGGCATCAGACAGCAAGGACCTCAAGTTAGCGCTGTAGATGCTTGTATAGCAAGGCGGGAGACTTGGAAGAGGGATATACGGTCGTGTCATCAGCGTAGAGGGCGATTCGTGTGTGTGGGTCTGATGGCATGAGCACGTCGCTAATATAAATTACTCATAAAAGGGGCAAGAGAAGTGATCCCTGAGGGGTCTGCAGTTAGAGATCGATGAGGCGGCCGGGCACCCCGCACGCGCACGCTGAAGACGCGACCATTCAGATAAGATTTCAGCACGTTATCAAGGACATGAGGGACAGATGACGAGCGCAGTTTTGCGACAGCAGACCTTCATGCTAAACTTGATCAAATGCCTTTTCAACGTCAAGGAAGACAGCGCCTATTGCCTTCTTATGGTTGCATGCGCGAGTGGTCTATTCAGTTAAGCGGAGGAACTGGGGAGTCGTTGAGTGCCCTTGCCGAAATCCAAATTAAAAAAACTCTGGTAAAGCCTTCCGAGCGTGAAACGACTTCTTTAAGACGGCGCAGTAAAACTGTCTCACCCACTTTGCCTGCCGCTGAAAGTTGGCTGAGGGGTCGGTACTTGCTAGATACTGATTACGGTTTAAGTGTTTTTGGTAGCATCACAACGATCGCCGTCTGCCATAGAATTGAAAACCCTATTAATGATATTTTCTTCAGCTTTCCATTAATGGTGCCAACGGGGCTAGGTGCTTTTCGTTTAGATAGCTCCTCAACAGTTGCTTGCACCTAGTCAAAATTAACTTGATTAAGTGGTTCGTAGTTAACGGGGAGGGATAAGCTTAACTGAAGGGAGCATCATCATAAGCGGTATACTAAGCAGCTGGTCCGTTTTGGATAGCATGAACATTTGCGAAAAGCGTAGCTTTATCTCCATCACTCTCGGTCACAATAATTCTTCCACAAAGGGGCGTTAGTGGTGCAAGCCCCCGATTTTTGATCTTTTAACAAATTTCCAAGTGGAGGAGCGACTGCTGCGGCCAGGTTCTTAGATACGATGCAGTTTGCTCCCCCATTTATTGTTAAAATGGGCCATTAGCCTTTTTCTAACGCGCCTGTGAGTCGATTAAGCGCAAGTTTGTCTTCGGTGCTCTGCGACATGTCTTCTCGAATAAAACGTCGACGTCGGCAGATAAGTGTCTTTAGTACGTCAGGCGGAAGATCGGGGCGGTACACTACTTTGCGAATTGTCGTGGCAGTAGTGAGAACCATGTTCAGTGCGCTTTCTAAAAGGGCTCGGGCAAGGCAAGAGCATGGACGGTAATGAAGGATAAGTCGGCAGCGTGGTTTCCAATACATCAGCGTATTTGTCCCAGTCGGGAAAATAAGGATAATGGTTTTTGATGTGCCCTTCTCATCCCCTAAATCGAGAATGACTGGGGAGTGATCGGAGGATAGCTAGTGAAGCGCTTCAATTGCCGTAGAGAGATGTATATCTTTAAGTATGGCAATATCCAGTAAGTCCATTGTGCCTGTAGTCACCAAGTGCTTTGGTTACTACAATAATTGTATTATATATAATTATATATCAGGAGGTTTTAAAATAATCCTTAACTTATATATGTACTCATTTTCATATAGGTTGAAACAATATTTGATTAAAATTTCACCATGTGCTCAAAAAATGCAAAAATACCTTAGCTATTTTAGTTAAAAATTTTCTAAATTTTGCGATTTTTACTTGGTATGCGTGCAAAGCATGTCGCGTGCTGTGAGTGTTACTCCATTTACAGTTTTAATAGATCTTAATTTCATCTCTTATCATCGCCCTTGCTGACCAAATTATTTCTTCTTAAAATAGAGCCAATAATACAATATTACAAACTGTCTACTGATTCTGGGTCTATTCTACTTCCTTTATATAACAATTATAAACCAAGCCACTGCAAGGCCGGCTATACTCACACTGCATATGGCAATTCGTCTCCTAAACCATTCACGCTCGGACTTTCGATTATTTACTAAATATATGGCAATTTTTTAACATCACTTGCATGAGTAACCAATAAAAGTAAGTTTGAATTTTGTTTTAAATTTTTTAGTCAACTATTTCACTTTCTTTACTTAGTCAATGTTTAAAGTTTTTAAGAGACCCTTCCGTAATTCATAGTTATTTACCTTGGATTTAAAGTTAAAAATCATGAAAAAATTTGGAAACAGTTATTGGCCACTGCTTGTTAAACACTTTACACAACAGGTTTGTTTTATTCAAACGGGTGTCATAGACCCTAACATATATTATGAAGTTAAGAAGATACGTCTCTTTCCTAGTGGAACTTATTTTTCCATTACTCATCTTTTGCTTCTTAACTATATTTATTACTTCGTCATCTCTCACGAAATACCCTAATAGTAAGTTTCTTAAGCCTTATTAACTTTTTATTGCTTTAGAAACTTAAATTGAATTTAAATAGTGAACTTCCCTGTATTACAAAATTTTAAGGGATATAAGAAAAATGTTCATGTTTTTTTAAAAGACAAGCCAAGTCCTGGTACAGTTATATCTAAAAAACAATTAACCTTTTTTTTTAATAATTTACTCTACTTTACTAATTTTACCCCCCCCCCCACCAGCTTATTTTTAACTGTACTTCTTAAATAATATTTTAGTAACAAATATTTTGGATAAAATACAAGCCTCTGGACTCTATAAATTTTATTATTACGACAATTTAAATAACTTATTTGCTAGTTGTACTAATGATAAAGACTTTTTGACTGGTACGATTATGAAAACAATTTTATTATAGCTTGACTTTTATATTTTTATTAGCCTTACTTTTCGAAGACAGCATGCTGAAAAAATCGTTAAAATACCTGTTACGTCCAACATTGCTCGTTAGGGTAGGTTAATACATCTTTAGTCCTATTTAAGCTTTACACTTTTTTTTTTCATTAGTATTATACTTCCACAGTTTACACAAATACTTCTTATTTGTTACATTTAAACAGAAGGAAGGATCCCTATTTCTATTCCGTAAATTTAATATATAATAAAACGTATCTCTAATTTTTCATTTGTTACTTTAATTAGGGATTACTTAACCTTCAAAATTCTATTGATAAGGGAATAATCGAGTATAAGTTAGAAGGACAACCGGACATCGATTTTTTAATTAATAGTGAAATAAGATTTGTACGATACCCTTATCCTAGCCATTTTTTTAGTTTCGTTTTTTAATTTATCACTTTAATACTTTCATAGTTACGTCAATATTATACCTTATATAGATGTAGATGTGGATAGTTTTAAAGATTTTATCCCCTTCATTTATGTTTTATTTTTCCGCTATTTTGCTGTGCGAACGACCAAAAATTTGGTGAAGGAAAGAGAGAGAATGTTTTAATGACCTTCTAAATCATCCTTTGTATCCAAGTACTATATATTATTTTTTAACCAGGTTAAAGGAATTTATAAAAGTGATGGGTGTCACTGAGTTCTGTTACTGGCTCTCTTGGTTATAAACATTTTTACAATATTTTAACTTGTTTCAAATTTTGGCAAACAGGATAAGTAATTTTTTCATTTGGAGGATTCCGTTAATTCTGGCACTAAGTTTTTTCCTACGCTTTTCTTATATTTTTAACTGTGTTAATATTGGTATGTTTATAGTTATTTATTTTATAAACCTAACAAATGATTTATGGTCAAAGGAATTCTCATAATATTTCACATACTACACGTATTTGGAATTATCTCCTTCTGCTTTTTAATTTATAGTTTTACTGACTCCTCTGCGCTGTCTACGACTATCACGGATTTGCTCTTTTTTTTTACCTACATCCCCACTCTCCTATATAATGTGCTTTTATTAATTATATAGTAGGTGCCTTCAGCTCATTTATCTTTAATAACAGACTATTTTTCCAACCACCGCACCTTACTCCGCCTTCTTTGGCACTCTTTGGCACCTCTTTCTTCTTGAATACTTGCATGTCGCACATAATTAGACTTTTCGCAGACTTTCAAATTCAGAATAAAAAACTTGACTGGAGTAATATAACTTCTAAACCAAATAAAGGTAGAGAGTGGGCTGTCTCAACCGCTTTTCTTGTGTATTTGCTGCTAATAACAATTCAGTTTCTTTTAGCTGCATGTATTACAGGTAGGTTTCTTGTCTTTGACAAAGTTTCTATTACGTCTAAACTGACCAATTACAGTTATTTACCCTGGGAAGCACGGAGCTCGCGAAACATGCTATAGAACTGTTATCAAATGGATCAAGAGTTCTCTGTCTCCCAATTCAGCTCATAAAAAGTAGCTATATGGTTAATACCTGTTTAACAAATAATCACGTAAAAATAAAAGAGCAACCAAGAATACGGTGTATACAGGAACGCAAGCAAATAAAATGCAATTGGAAAAGTCCGCTCTTCCCCCGGGCGTTGCGATATCTAACCTTAAAAAAGTCGTGGTTTAATGTGTATATTTTAGTTAAGTAGAAATTAAGTTTGCGTTATTTACAGGTTTACGAAAATGGAACTTTTGCGTTAAAAGGGATCACAGTCGACATGTACGAGAATCAAATATTCGGATTGCTCGGACAGAACGGAGCAGGCAATATATATATATATATATATATATATATATATATATATATATATATAGTTGAAATTTTCTTTTTCATAAGGACTGGTTATATACAGGGAAGTCCACGTTGATCTCTATATTAACTGGAATGACCGCACCAACTAGCGGTACTGCAGTAGTGTGTGGTTATGATATTCGCAAAGATATGCCCAAAGCTAGAAAGCATTTAGGTACTTTTTTTGCTTGGCATGCCGGGCTAGGTGCCTCGCCCTTTCCAATTTCGATTTTTAGGCCTTTGCCCCCAGCACGACATTTTGTTTAACGCGCTAACCGTAGAAGAACATATGCGTTTTTTTTGCAGATTAAAAGAAGGTCATTTGTGATGAATTAATAATTTAGAAGTATATACGCCCGACACAGGTAATTATTTAGTTAAGGCGCAGTTTATCAAAGAAGAAGTTAAAGAAATGTTGCAAAGTTTACGCTTAGAAGATAAGAAAGACGTAAGTTTTTTTTTTTTATCTGTTGCTCTTTTTGGCAGCAGAATTAATATTATAAAACGATCAGGTATTCCCAGTAAAACTCTCTGGTGGGATGAGGCGAAGGCTGTGTGCCGGTTTGGCTCTTATAGGCGGCTCTAAGCTTGTCATATTTGATGAACCCACGGCTGGTTCTCCACTGGATATATTGGGGTTTCTTATAATGAAAGAAACTTATTAGGGGTTGATCCGGCGGCGAGGCTGTTTATACGAGGTTTAATACAGCAGTACAAAGTGGGTCGCACGATAGTTCTTACTACTCATTACATGGATGAAGCCGATATTTTATGTTTCTTGTTTTTGCTTATTGACAGCTACAAAATTTAATGTTTTTCTTTAAGGTGATCGAATTGCCGTTATGGTCAATGGCTTTATAAAGGCTTATGGAACACCTTTTTTTCTCAAGACTGTTATGGAGGTCGGACAAACCATCACCATTATTAGAGACCTCAGCATTCCGGCCATAAACGTTATTGATTCTGGTACTTGATTCTTTTTTTCTTTTTACTAGTTTACACGGTTTCACACTAATCCTTTTGATACGTTCTTTTTAAGACATGTTTAAACTCCGCACCTCTGCGATCACCTCTGCCATCCTCAACTATGTAAAGTCGGCTGTGTTAATTCGGGAAAACGCGGGGGAATTGGTATAAGATATCTCACGGCCACGGTCCTACTCATTAAAAAAAAAAACTATTTTTTATTTTTAGGTTTTCAAAATTCAAAGCTCGGGAAACTACAGCAACCTGATTGACCTTGTAGATTATATAGAAACGAATAAAAGCGAGCTCGGAATAAGTAGCTTCGGTTTTACTATTAAAGTAGAGTACCTGACACACCCACAGACTGTGCTAATGTTAATTTTTACTATAGGAATATCTGTTGGATCTCTGGAAGACGTTTTTTTAAAGGTTATAATACGAAATTTTTAATGTGTTTTAGCACATGCTTATCTCACTTTGATACGTGTGTAGTTATTTAAAGAGGATACGCTAGAGGCTGCTGACTGTAAAATTGTGAGCGAAGTACCACTAGGCTATATAGACTTATACTGGCCTTAATAAAACTGCGCCCTAGACGAGTGCGCCTGTCGAGAAAACGTTAAACGAGCTTACTGTGGATAGACTTGTTGACAATGATGAGCTTTTGTCCACTTGTTCAAAGGAGAGGGGTTAAAACGTCAATTATTCAAGTCTGTGCTAATCTTACTTTTAAATTTTAGGGAAATGGTTGTCTTTTCGTCAGTTTAAAGCACTGTTGTACAAGAAATTGTTATACTCAAAACAGGACTTTCACGGTTTTTTCTTGCAAATAGTTGTACCCATGACCATTGTGCTCTTCGCTATGGTAGATGAGCTGAAGTTGGGTTACGTAATCTAACACACTCCTTTATGCTAGTGGCTCTCCTCTTTAAACAGTTGGGAGGATTTGGACAATAAAGAGATCATTTTCTCCGCTTCCTTGTATGAAAAACACACCCTTGATCTTGCCGTCGGCTCTGCTCCACCTTCTGTGGTTATCCAAAAGCTATTAGGCCACATCACATGTGACTCTCTTTAACTTACCGATAATATAATACCACTAAAAGTTCTTTACGAAGCAATGCCGCCCACGTCCACGCAGCTGGTTCAGTTGCCTCTTGACAAACAGGGTTTACTGGACTACATCCTAGAAAATAGGAAGTGGGTCCCCCAGCATTTTTTCTGTACTTTTTATCGTTACCCCTGTAAATTAGCGCATACGATCACTTTGCAAAAGAACACATAGCCGCCTTTCACTTTGCCGAAAAACAAGGATGTAATATGACTATGTGTAGCCTTTTCTTGTACTAATGTCACTCCTATAGCAACCGGTTTTAGTACTACGTTGTTCTACAGCGAGACTGTGTATCATGTGCTTCCCGTTTTTTTAAACTACTACAATAACTTGCTGTTAAAGTTTGGTTTATTCATCTTTCTCTTCTCTCTTTGTGTATCATGCCTGCCGAAATGTTACATAATGGCAGAATGTTTGCTCCTCGAGAGGGCCTTCAAATACCAGGTCCAATTGTCGTAGCAATATACCCACTAGCCAATTTACCGAATGAAAACGAGGAAGGTGGGTTTTGTAAAGCACAAAAATTCCCCGTGAGTCTATCATAAATTTCGCTTTATCGAAAGTGAGAGTAAAGTACTTCTTTGTGGTGATACTGATCGGTTTTGGAATGAGCTTTCTCACAAGTAGTTTTATTCTCTTTGCAGTTCAAGAAAATCAAAACAAATCCAAGCAGCTCCAGCTACTTACGGTAGGTTTTTTTTTTTTTTGAGGATCATATAGCTTTAACCTTTCTCTGCTAGGGACTTAAACCAGCATTCTATTGGTGCGCCATAAGTGTTTGGGATTTTTTGGTTTCTGTTTTGTCCACAGGGTTTCTCTATACTATCGTCGCATTTTTTAATGATCGTTTTTTCAGTGGTACGTTTGATATTTTCATTAGAGATTTAAAAAAATAGGTAAACCGATTGAATAGGTGTGTTAATATTTTACATGCTGCTATTTTCTCTGATTTACACGCTGTCTATGAGTCCCCTAGTATATACATTTTCTTTTTTTTTTGAAATACCGGCCAACGCTTTTGCCTTCTTAGTGGTAAGTACGTAGCGATATTTTTTTGTTCTATAGTAACTTACTATCTCCTTTCAATAATAGATTATTAACATTTTGTTTGGCTTTCTTACGTCCTTTGTGAGACTGTTATTGCTAACCTACAACTATAAAACTGCTCATAACGCTCTCGGCTGGCTGTTTATGTTTTTTCCTCTATATTCTCTGATGCAGGTTTACGGTATTGATGCCTTTTACGTCACAAGGCTAAAAGCACACGTTCTAGGCCTTTTTAGGTTTTGTTAAAGTTAAATTTCAGCGTGTAGCATGCGAAGATTTTTCGCTTCCCTCTTCTTATTGCAATGGTATGCTCAATTTTAAAATAAGTCCTTCTCAGCACTTATTATAGCATATAAGGTCTTCCTTTCTTTGGAATATCTGACGACCTCCCTGGAAAATATTTAATAATTTTGTTGGTCGAAACAATATTCTATAACTTGCTTTTGTTTTTGATGGAGTATAGACTCTCGATTGTCATGTATTTTAAGAAATTAAAAACCGGAGCCCCTGAAAGGTGAGCGTTGCGATAGCTTCATTGCCACAGTAGTGATTAGTCTTGTTTAGCACTGAAGAACCTGACAGTCAACTTGATGAAGACATTGTCAAAGAGCAGAGAAGAATTTTAAGCCCACAAGGGGTAAAGTATAGAAAGGTTTATTGCTTAGAAAAAAAAAATATATTCACAATTTACTCAGGCGGGAGATCTTGTTACTGTTTTAAAACTGCGAAAAGAGTATAACACACACCCTATCCTGCGCTGGCGCAACAAAACACTTGTAGCCGTCAACAATCTATCTTTCGGTGTCCCTCGAGGCCAGTTGTTTGGTTTGCTCGGTAATTATTTAAATTTATCGCTGAGAAGGTGTTAAAGAGTTCTTGTAAAAATATCAAGGCAGTAATGGGGCCGGAAAGACCACTACATTTAAAATGCTAACGGGAGACCTACTGCCTACTTCCGGGCACGTCATCGCTAATGGAGTCGACTTAAGTTCGCATTACAGAAAAAGTGGTAAAAGTTTAGTTGGTTACTGCCCACAGGTATTACTATATTCCACCAGCTTTTTAGTTAGACTGTCATAGAAGTTTTTTTTTTCTTAAAATAGTCTAACGCTCTGTTGGAAGCTATGACAGGCTACCAGATTCTCCGTTTGTACGCCATTCTTCATGGTATCAGTGACCAGGACATTGATCGGCATGTCAATACCTTGATGAACTTGTAAGTACAAAATGGAATTTTTTGACACGAAACGATTAACCTTCGCTTTATTGCTTTAGAGTTGGCATAAGCAAATATGCTCAGAAGAAGTGTGGGACGTACAGCGGTGGTAATAAAAGAAAACTATGTGTTGCAATATCGCTAGTACGCGCCATTATAGACAACATAATAGCCAATGATCGCGTAAATTAACTATTATGTGTAGGTAGGCTGCCCAAAGGTGGTTTACTTGGACGAGCCGACGGCAGGAATAGACCCCGCAGCTAGAAGAGTTCTTTGGGACCTCTTGCTTAATTACGTTGACATGGGAAATGTGATTCTTTTAACGTCTCACTCGTAAGTTATTGGAGCATAAAAAATTTCCCCTCCCCCCCCCCTCACTTAAAAAATTTAAGGATGGAGGAATGTGAAGCACTTTGCCATAGACTAATAATTATATCTCGTGGTGTAGCAAAGTGTATCGGGTCCGTGCAACATCTAAAATCTCGATTTGGCAACGAAATATGCATATTTATAAAAGTCAAAGACACCAGTAAGAGATTATAGTTTATTTGTTATTTATACTGATAATTTACATACCTTTTGTAAAAGGTGATGAAAGCTCTATTTTAAGAGTTTGTGCTTATTTAAAAGATAACCTTCCTTTTTCAAATATTGAAAAACTTCAGGTTCTAAGTTTTTTTTTATTTTTTAAAGTAAATATATTCTAACGATGAGGTTCTAGGGACTAATTATCTGCAGTGTCTCTAAACATCTTATTCAACTGAAAGACTTTTTGTTGGTTGCAGAAAGTATCGCTAAGGACAGCGCCGTTGAAAGTTATCAGCTCGGGCAAACATCTCTTGAAAAAGTTAAGCACCAATTAATTATTATTTATTTAGTAATTTATTCACGATAATGACTTCTTAGCTTATAATTAACAATTAATTAACTGCAGATATTCATGAAATTTGCCAAGGAGGCTAAAGATAATTAGGAACTAGTATTTTAAAAATTTAATAAATATCTTTTTTCACTCACCATAGGATTTTAACAGTATAAATAAGTTTACAAGTTTATTTTAAGCAATCCCTTGTAATTACAAACGTTAAGTGAAAGGGCTAGTGACTAAATAATTATAACTGACGGGTAAAGAGAGACTTACCTTAGTATTTGAAGAACACTGCTTTCTTAGTTTGTGTGTAAGGCGTCCCAATATTAGCATCTATCAACTTCATAATATTTTAGAAAGTATATTTTAAGAATTTTATAACATTACTTTTAATTTTCTATTTTTGTATTAATTATTATAATAACCCTAAAACAAATGAGACTAACAGCAACTTCAAAAATCTGCTCCATTCAATTATGGAACACTTAGGGCATAATCTTAGGTCAGGTTATTACAGACAGCCTACGAAATATTTATAAGGCCGAGGATGCCTGTATTTCAGTACCACATACCGAATTTCCAGTTTAATTACGTCGTTGTGTGATTAGAAATAGTGTGAAATAGTGTATGTAGCTCAGGAGGGTAATCTTTCTTAATTCATATCTGTTTTCCCGTAACTGTGCGTCTAGTATGGGGTAAAATTCGAAATATTTTATATGATAATAAATAATATCTCAGCATCAATTTTGTTTAACCTTTTTTCATTAGTTGTACAGTTATTTGTTGTGGATGCCCAGGGATTTTAAAATACTAAATTATTACATTACTCTAAAGCATTCTGCATTTCTGGATAAACTACTATATGCTCTGTCTATAATTTCTATATTTCTATATTATTATTGACTTTCGAAGAAGCTCTATATATACCGAGCGCAGACTACATAAGCAGATTAGGGATTATATTTAGTTCACATGCATCGTAATTTTTATAAGTTATATATATATATATATATATGTCGACCTTACAGACTTGAATCTTTAAGAACACAAATATTATAAACAATGAAAATAAGTAGTATAGTGTAGAAAAAATAAACTACAAATAATTATAGTTTAAAGTTAACGTTTAAAAGCAATGTAATATTTTCTTTGAAAGCTCTTGATCCATATGAATCGCTAATACCCCCACCAAACAAACAATACGTATAAAAAAAAAGAGCGCGACGTGCACGCCCTCAGCCGATCAACTTTTAACTACATATATCGGGTTCCCCTTTTAACTGTATATCATAGATTTTGTGGTAAGTTCATAGATGGCCGCTAGTAATGCTGTCACAAAATTTTTTGTTACTAAGAAGTTATCAAAGCCGCAAGCATATTTGACTTTTCAGGTCTAGCTGCACTAGGTTAAGGTAATAATCTCGACTGACTAATAGTTCTATACTATACCCATATAGCTTACTTTCTTAAGCTATATAATATAAGATAATAATTTTCAAAGTAATGTTAGTAAATCACAATACTTTTTGTACATGAGTTAGTTTTCAATAAAGTGATTTCTAATAGTTCATATGATAATAACCATAATGTAAAAAGTATATTAACTAGAACATTTAAAGGAACTTCACAAAAGCAAATATTGGAAGACTGCAAGAACTAACTCCACTGGGAGATCCACCTGAAGGTCTATGTAAGCATGGAAAGCAGAGGAGGCTTTTAATGATTCCACTTCTAAAATGAAACCAAAGGCAATGGCTATTAATACCTGAAAGCCTGGCTTGCATTATAAGAGGTGTTAATTGAGAGCACAAAGACAGAAAACGATAAAATCGGTGAAAAACCTTTTGGTTTTCGTTTAATTTATGACAAGACAAGAAAAAAAAGTGCTTACTTAAAAAAACACAAAAAGCGGTGTTCTAAGAAACAAAGTAAAGTAAACTGTAACTAGGTTTTTTTTTTCCTTAGGGAAATAAATTCTGACCTTAAAATATAAAAAAATTTATCAGTTACGTGTATAACGACCGTTCTTGTAGACATTTTGGAATACCGATGATACAGGTTAAACAAGAGCCAATTAAACTAATTAATATTCGTTTGATAAAAGAAATCGTCAACAAAAGCAAGAATTGATTACTAAATATTTTCATGAACATATCAATATTAACCAATAATATAATTAGTCCTGCAGTATAAGCAATAAGTAATCAAATGACAAGCTTTTATTGCCATTAGATTAAATCCTATAATTCCTTTTAAACTAAACAAAACCAGATATTGCTACTCCATCAAAAGAGTGGCCCAATATTAGAAGGTCATTAGGGAACAACAGTAAACCGGGGCTCTTACCAAAAAAAGAGAAAGCGAATACGTACAAGTTGACTGACGAAGAAAAGGGACTAAGCGTAAAGCTTCTTCCTGAAGACTCTGAGTACCCTATGTACAGTAGGACGGGTATTTTTGTAGCTTAAATGTGTGGCCTTTATTGCGTAACTCATGTCAAAGTGTTAAAGCTCTTACTTCGACCAAGTATCTATATCCTTATGGAAGCGCTACCTTAAATCAATAGTTTTCAAAATATAGTTATATTAATAAATAACCAGGACAATATACAGATCACTCACTCTCGAGTTAAAAAATGCTCAGTAGAATGAGATATACTGACTTAATATAAACCACAGAACCATTACGGGGGCTAACTTTATTACTAAATTTTCATATTATACTCTGTACTAGAGATAGCTACAGGCACATATAATAAAAGATCCGGCTAAAAAATAAGTAAAGTGAGTCTCGAAAATTAACTGTCTAGAGGATAGCACGTTGATGCGAAGGTTTTAACTTGAAGAACTAAGCTTGGGGGGCAAGTATTACTTATTTAACTTATTAATAAAAATCTTGGTCTTTATCATCTTCTATAGGCTTAATTTTATAAAGTGGAATTTGTTCAAAATAAATTAATATTCGATTAAAATTAAAAATTTTATAATATTTTAAAAATTATCTAGTGAAACTAGTTAACTTAGTGTTTACTAAGCTGCTAAATTATTTATTAACTTCGACTCAAACGCTCTCTAGACCAACGTTAAAGTACAACAAAAAAGGCTGGTAAACACCGAAAAAAAGACAGAGAGGAGTCTAAAAAAATAGACGAGCCATCCACGACAGTTACTGGTTTTCGTTCTAGTCAAATAACTTTGGATACTCGATCTCTCAATCAGGAGTAATCGCAGACATATTACATAATAGCTTTCAAATCGTATAGGTATCATTATTTTCTTAAAACTAACAAACGAAAACTAGCGCTAACCCGCGAATTTGTGCTGTCGCACTTGAAGCGCCGACGCTATTGTAGTGGAGTCGTAGGTCAAGCAGCGGACGCGTATTCATTTATTGGCCGGATGTAAGACATATACAACTGCCGTTTTGTTTCGCAGAGAAATCTTGCTCTTGCCGCATAGTAAAAGGTAAATCGCCTTAGTTGCTGCCTTGATTTTCTCCACTAGATAGTCCACGTGCGGCTGCCAGGTAAGTTTGTGGTCAGCGATGACCCCAAAGCATTTCGCTTAAGAACAACACGGAATCATCACGTCATCAAAGATTAAGGGCGCCAACAAGGGAACGCGTTTTTTGTAAATAAAAGCGCTTTGCTTTTCATAGCATTTGTAAAAACTTTCCACTTACGGCATCAGACAGCAAGGGTTTGTCCCTCATATATATATATTGCAAGTAAAAGGTGTGAAAGAAGGGATCCCTGAAAGGCTCCTGCTGTCAGAGATCGCAGCGGCGACTGTGTATTTCCCACGCGCACGCCGGACGCGGCCATTTAGATATGACTCCAGCACTTTGGTGAAGGCCAGGAGGAACGGATAACGAACGCAGTTTGTACATGCCAAACTCGATTAAAAGCTTTTTCAACGTCAAGTAAAACAGCGCCTGTTGCCTTCTTAGGGTTAAAAGCGCGAGGTCCATCAAGTTAAGCGAAGGAGCTGCTGAGGCTTTAAGTGCCCGTGCTGAAATGGAAACTAAAACTCCAGCAAGACGTCCCGAGTGTCAACGTCCTCTTTTAGACGGCACAGTAAATCGGCCTCACCCACTTTGCCTGCCACTTCTTAAAGATAATGATGGGCCGGTATTTCTAGTTGCTGATCCCTGTTTTAAAGTTTGGCAGATCTCATTAAGGTCGCCGTCTTTCATCGGATCAGAAAAGCGCCATCACAGCTTTACTAAGAGGTACAGAAAACGCATTCCTGTTAATGCCAATTCTTCAGCATCTCATTAGTGATGCCATCGAGTTCAAGCGCTTTTCGTCTGGGTAACGCTTCGACAATCTCTTGATTTCGCCTGCATTAACTAGTTCAAGTACTTCGTGTACACCGGGAAGGAGGAAGCTCAGCTGTTGGAACGCATCATTGGCAGTTAGTTGAGCGGCTGGCACGTTTTGGGTTGCAAGGAGGTTAGCGAAAAGCGTAGATTTTTCTTCATCACACTCGGACACTTAGCTCCTTCACGAAGGGGTGGTAGTGCTGAAAGACCCCGATTTTTGACCTTTTTAACATATTTTCAAAGAGAGAACTGCTGCTGTTGCCTAATTCGAATATATGGCGTAGTTCAGCCTCCCATTTATTGTTGAAATGGGTCATTAGCTTCTTTCTTATGCATTTGTAAAGTCGATTAAGCGCAAGTTTGTCTTCGGCGCTCTTCGATAACATGGCCTCTCGGATAAGACGCAACCCTTGTTAGATAAGTACCTTTAGTTCGTTAGGCAGGCAATTGGGGTGGTACGTTACTTCACTTTTATGGCAGTAGTGCCAGTCACGTTGGGTGCGCTTTCTAATATAACGACAGCATTATCCAGCAGGGCGAAAAAGGTGCTTTCTCAAAACTCATCATATTTGTCCGAGTTTGTAAAAAATTGGGTGACGGTCTTCGGTGTGTCTTTCTCCTCGCTACTACGAAAATAATTGAAAGGTCCTGACTGAAACATCTAGTGAGGTTGAATGATTCCTTTTTACCAAGATAGCCACGCCCCCGCCATGTGCATCGATCCGGTTTTGGCAGTACGTAACAAAGTTGCACAGGTTGCGACGTTAGGAAGAAGGTGGGCCTCATAAATGGCGCACACATCAATTCTCTCACATTGTAACAGTTCCTGGGGCTCGTACTTCTTACTCTGAACACCATTCGCATTCCAGATAATAATGAAATCCAGCGGCGTATTTTTGGTTTAGTGACCGTTGCAAACAGCATCTAGCCCTTTAACTGTTTCAAGCATTCAGGAAAAATACGTCGTTAAAATTGCTGACAGCTGCCGTTCTAACGCCTTTTCTCTCTCATTCTGGGTATATGTATTAATTCTAGTGGTAAATAACGCTTCTTACGTTCGCTTTTGACAATGTCCTCCGTGTGCATTCGCTCTACCCGAAGGGGTGTGAGGACCTGAGCGCGCAAACCCTCCTCAATGGTTTAGAAGATAGAATTTACAGTAAATCCCACAGAAAACGAATTTCTAGGAATTTTCTTCAGGTTGATATGTAAAGAATTAATTCGGAGCTCGCATGATCGGTGTTATAGAGCGGTAATTGTTAGCTGCCAAGGGAAATATTTTGAATCGAAGGCGGTTATCCCTTGACCACCGGTTACGCCGTTGGTTTGCAAAAGTCGATTTAATAAGGGCCTCTTTGTTTTTCGCATAGAGTTAAGGGAGAAAATTATCTTTTACGAGAACCCGTTTAATCAATCAATCATTTTTCTTAGGAGCAGTGTCAGAAGCACTGCTCATCTCAACGTCTATGCTGTGCTGTAAAGGTTTTACGGGCTTTTCCAGGTCTCCATAAATTTCACTACCCTCACTTCGCTTATTAAGCTATTATAAGTTGTATTACCTCCATATTATTACTAAAATTATTATCACTACTTAAACTATTAATATTACTAATACTGTGGTCGCTCTCGGCTATATCATTAATAGACACACTATTATATGGTATTAAAATGTTACTACCACAACAACTATTACTACTAAAACCTACTTTATTGTTAAGAGTTTCTTTTTTGGTTAACTGTAAGTTCTCGCTTTCTTCTAATATTTCAAAAGTCTGTTGCCAATCTAAAATTTGTAAAGATGAGGAAACATTATTATTAGTCATCATATCAGCAGGCTCCTTTCATCTCTTTAGACTTTAGTTTGTCATAAGTAGTTTTTAATGTGCTCATTAATTTTAGCTTTGATTGAGTTAAATTCTCTCCTGAGTTCTTCGTTGCCAGCTAACAAGTTAGCAATCAAGGTGTGCTGCTCTTCTTCAGTAGAGAGGCTCATTTTTTATACGGATAAAGAGTGGATAAATATAAATAAATAAAGAGATGGGTATAACGAAATAATAATAATAATAATAATAATAATAATAATAATAATAAATAATATATATTATAAGAAGTTTTAACAAGTATGCCTACTGTAAGTAAAAAGTAGTCGAGGTGCGCAGGACACATTAAAGCTGCAAGGGGGTTGTGCGATCCTACGAGCCATCCGTGTTTTATTAAATATATATATATGTCTTACATATTAATGCAAACAAACTAAAAACTATCTAATAAACATTAACACCTTCTATTAACCCAACTTTGAATCCGTGCTATAAGGTGACTAAATTTCAAACATTTAATATAGGCAAATTTTTCGGTGCATTATGAGTGCTTATTATGTTTTTAAAGTTTTGACCTATTACTTCAAAAGTTAGTTTAGAGCCTTCATAACTTATCTGGGAGTTCTTCAAGCCAAGTATGAGATGGTAAACTGTCAATTAGGTAAAGGACGAAGTACTATCGCTTCATTTTATTTTTATTTACAGAGGACTAAAATATCTCTTGTAGTTTTTATTGATCCTTAAATCCGTTAAATCATATTCTCAAGTCTTACTCAAACTTCGCGTTTTCACATTAAAGGAAAAATGATAAACCTTACTCTACTCTAGTATTTCTAAATGAACAAATGTTTAGTATAACTATTCATATAAACTCAAAATTAATTATTAAAATGTTATATAGGTGATTTTAATTATTGGTTATCATAAGTTTTATCTTTAAGACATCCTTGAGATAAACTTTACAGATTGTATATACATTTTACTTATTTGAGAGGGGATGCGGGTATCCTAACTTTTTCGTTAAGTTTAATATTTTTATATTCTTCAATAGTGTTAATTATAAACCCTGTATGCTTGTAGTTTTAAACTATAGCGATTACATCAAATAGTTTTATTGCATGTTTTAAAAACTTTGTGCCATGGGGTTAATACGGATCATAATTGCAAATTCAGTTCCTTCAATCTGATATCTTTTTGGGTCAGTTAGTTTCTAAGTTAAACTTTTATTTAAATTTAAGGGGTCTTCTTTTTCGTTCGGGTTATTATATTATATTCTTATGTTCTAAAGGTTCTTAAGGTCCCTTGCTGCAAGAGTATATAGTTTC